CCTCCCGGTCCAGGTAGGGCCACAATTGGTGTATCAGGCGAACCTGGGCAAAGGTCCCCCTCGTCACAGCCGACATATGATGTTCTAGAGTCAGCTGGGGATCCAGGAGGACTCTCAAATTGCGAGCCCTCTCTGAGGGGCGTATAATTTCACCCCCCAGGCTGAGAGATGGAAGAGACAGAAGGATGTGAGAAAGCTACATCCACAGAAGATCTGTGGTTAGTTCTCCAAGATGTTGGGAGCAACTTACCAGCCGAGTTCCTTCAAAAACTGTGTGCAACTGTACCTAGAAGAATTGCTGCTGTTTTGAAGGCAAAACAAAGGTCACACCAAATATTGACTTGATTTAGATTTTTCTTTTGTTCGCTCTTTGCATTTTGAAAATTGACAAAAATAAACAATCATTATTTATATTTCTGAAAGCATTCTTTGTTTACAGCATTTTTTCACACCTGCCTACAACTTTTGCACAGTACTATATATACAATAGAGAACAGCAACTAATCCTGTTTTTTAATGATTAAATATATTTTAACTATGTATTTACCGTATTTGAATTTAACAATACTTTTTTTAAAAACACATGATTAACTTGAAATTTTTAAAAACTCCTCACCTCCCAATGTTTGTGTTGGTGATTGGGTTTTTAAGTTTTTGGCTAAGATAAACGAATGCCTGAAAAGAGTTTATTTGGAATTGTCCAAAATGTGTAGCTGCTCATAATGATATTTCCTAAACTTGTATCCTTTAAATGTGTTATGATTGCAACTTTTTGGCCATAGATTTAGACTAGGAAATTTCAACATATCTACAGAGAGTAGAGTGAAGAAAGATGGATTATAATTTTTATCCTATAATGCTAACTTTCTCAAAAGAGTAACAGTTGGTTAGTATTTTAAAGTGGCTTGATGCTTTCTGGTGCAGAAAAAGCAAGATTCGGAATAGTAAACATTAAAATGAAGAGACAACATTCACAACTCTAAAACTATGTTTAAGTTGTTCAAAAAGCCATGATTATAAATTAAATCTTCCTCTGGGATATTTTCAGATAATGGCAGGGTTTTTCCCCCCTTCATTACCTGAACAGATTAACTAGCTTTAAAGATTTAGTGAGCAGTCTACACCCTTGAAACAATGTTTCACAGAGCAAAGTACATAAGGATATCAACATATTTAAAAATTATTCCATATATAACCATTCTTTAAATGATAACTAACTGTCAGATATTTGCAGCATTCATAGATGGATGCATGATATTGCTTTTAAAGTTAGAATTAAGTGAAATGCAGAACAGACAATAGTGGCATATAGAAAAAATGCAATGCATCAATCCATGCATTTCTGACACATTATCTAAACATGTTATCTTACACTTTGGTAATCTTGACCTACATTTGACATACATTCAGATTATCAATTTTACTTTTTCATTTATTTTCAAGTTTGATTGGATTAATCCCTTTCTTGCAAGGCCTCTTAAATTTTTTATGTGATCTAAAGAGCAAAGAGGAGGACCACTACTGCAGCAGTCTCAACCATGTAAAAATGCAATACAATAATTATTATTTAAAAGGTAAAAGGAATATACTGCAGATAGTAGCAAACTTTTAAAAAATGCTCTTTAATACCCAAAAGTTCTTGAAATTTATTATTCTTCAACTAATTTTAAATAAAAACAATAATAAATGGCTTTGAAGACTGGTAAAGATTGAATGCTATTTATTTACTAAACTTATATGCCACTCAGTTTCCTAGAGGTGACTCTAGGAGGCTTATAATCACTAAAAACATTGCTCTGTTTCTTTATTTAATGTTGATTTAAAAATTTCAAAAACTACCATGGCTAGGGCTCATCCTGTTCAATTTTAAATCAAAATGTTCTTAAACAATTCATAAAAACTTGATCTGACCATGAGAATGCCTTGAATAGCTACAATGAAACTTTTTGAAAGAAGTTTAGGTCAAATCTGGATTTCCTTTTTCAAAAACTTTGATTAAAATGTGATTTTTTTTTAATCCTTTGGCCAGGAATACCTTGGTTGTTAAATGAAATGTCCACTAATTAAACTGCGACTCTGCTTATGATCTTATTTTATCTTAGCTTTGCTTTACAGACCTGTGAAAGTCGTAAATTCAGGGATCAGCCATGAAGCTACTTTTTCATCATCCTCATAACTGGAACAGTTGCTAAACAAGGGAGTCACTAAACAAGTACTACCTGTACTTCTTTAATTTAATAATAGCACGATTGGCCTGTTTTGTAAGATTTAGAAATGTAGTCTAAATGTAGCTGAACACAAAACTATTATTATGTTTTGTGACTAAATATGGCTATTATGCAACACAATGTATAGATACAGCACAACAATATCAGATACATAGTATAGCAATATCAGAATCAGATGATTTGTACAGATTGGGACTTTACCTAGTGTTTGAATACATTTAAACATATGGGAATAATTACTTCAATAATATTTCCTTTCTGTAAATGTAATACCAAATGTTCATACTGATGTAAATAGATGTCTATGGAGATTCTCAGTCATCAGGTCATGGTTGTCCCAAGGATGCTTTTTTTCAAGAGGCAACTGGACTTTCTGGTTTTTCTTTGAAGATGTTTCACTTCTCATCCAAGAGCTGAAGAAGTTTCTTGGAGAAGAAGCGAATTGTATTCAAAGAAAAAAACAGAAGTCCAGTTGCCTCTTGAAAAAAAGCACCTTTGTGATATAACTAGATGGTTAAAAATTCCAATGGGAAAATATAAACATTGTAAAAGTGAATATTTTCTCAGAATTTATACCAGAAGTCCTCAACTTACGACCACAACTAAGCCCCAAATTTATGTTGTTAAATAAGGGTGTTGTTAAGTTTTGTTTTGCCCCATTTTATGACCTTTTATGTTGTTGCATTTTTGCTAACTAATTTTACTCATGTGAAACTTGTACGTTACTGGAATTGATTGATTGGTGACAGATTGACTAGGTGACAGATAAAAATATAATATATTAACAAACAAATGATCAATGGACTTCTATAATATTAAATAGGAACTTATATTCTTAAGGAGAGATCTAATATTTTTCATATTAGAATGTTTAATAAAGATATGCTAGCTTTATTATGTAAAATCATAGAGGAAACATTTGATGTTTGGCTTGCCTCACTATTTTATTTTTACACACACACACACACATTACATACACACATGCATACACAAACATACATAAATTTGCTCATATAGCTTTGGAAAGGATAACATTGCTTAAAGAAATGTATTTATTTTGAACAGCTTTAGAAACAGTTGAGTATCATCTTGGTATATTTCTTTAAACTGTAGGTTTAATTTCAGGATGACATCAGTTAATCTTATCCAAAAGTAGACATTAGAAATGGACTGCATTATAATTAGAATGCATTGAATAACAGGTCACATAATTTCAAAGTGATGCATAAAAGAAACTACAATTTACATAACTTGTAAATTTTCTTCACATACTTCATTTTGAAATTGTTTTTGTTATACTTTACCAATATTTTTGTTCTTTAATCAACCACTATCCCATTTAAACAATTGCTTTAATGTGTAGCATCTTCTCAAACATCCCTCTGTAGTAAGTCTTGCAACCTACCTGTTTTGGGATCTACGTCGGCTGGTAAGTGTGGAGGAGGATTCCCTGGCGTGAAGTGCTCATTGCTGTATGTAATAAGCGGTGTAAGAGGATGTACATGGTGTGGGTGCTGCACAACTGGGACTTTGTTAGACTGTAAAAATAGAAAATAAAAAGTGTAGGAAGATGTTGCATTAATATGTTCCAAATAGACATACTAAAGAAGCTGTTTATACATATGCACATGTGCCCACATGCACACACCCACACCCACACACAATCATACACAGTCATAGATGTTTTTAGCATTTATGACTCTTCAGAATGTGAGAATATCTTCAGTAGTGCTCTTTATTCCTCTTTTCTCTGATGCTTTGGGATTCTTAAGTTTATTTACTAGGAAATAAAATGAAATAAACTCAATATTGTTAAGAATGAAATTTTTGGAATGAGATTTTCTGACCTGTAAAATGAAGTCTCTTTACTCTCTTTTAGGGACTTCTTCATAGTCACTTTTGAAAGCCACTGTTTAAATGGTTAAAATGTTTTTTCAGTGACCTATCATGTCCTTACCATGGCTATCACAAAACACTCAGGACAAGTCATGAACTGGCTGTGTTCCCTTCAGTAGACCAATGAAACATTAGCTTCCAGTGCCCCCTGCCTCTAATCCCAATGTAACCACATACAGCACACTTGCTTTTGCTGCATAGTCAAATGATAGGGTGCCATGGAGACTTGTCTTTAAAGGGAATGAAAAGCCAAGAAGGTGGGGCAAGCTAAGGGTCCCAGCCAATGGGAAATCACCCATTCTGAAGTCCCAGCATTAGTACAGCAAATTGTGCTTGAGCCTTTCCTTTTCCACTGTTTTTGAGTTAGAAGAGGTCTTATATGATGAGGGAACGTAGCAAACGCCATACATGGAAGAGCCTAGGATTCATTTTATTTAAACTCTCTAAGATGTGATATAAAGATTTTAAATATTTTTATTGTTATATAAAGAAACATCTTATTATTTGGAGCAAAACTGCTGTTATATTACTAAGGGTTTTTTTTTGTCTGTTTCCTTTGTTTAAATTAAGACATGATGTTTGCACCTGAATTTTGAGGCTCTGACAAAAAGTCTTGAAAAGCAGTTGTTTACTGATCTCTACCAACTATTAAAATATTTTTCACCCTTTGCCAAATAAGTAACTCTAAAATTGCTGACACAGAGATTTTACTCACAGTCAGAGATGTGTACGCTGCAGAGTTCATTTCAGGGCACATAGCTCTGGTCACATATAAAATCCATGTGTCAGCAATTGTGCTGTTGGTGGACAGGAACCAACCAGAGCCAATCATGCAGCTGATCCACCTAGAAACAAATTAGCATGGGCCCCACAGTATTTAAAAGAAAAGGTAGATTCTCGCTTTTTCAAATGCAGCTATTATACTATAACATAGCTTTTCTCTGAATACTTTTTAAACTTTATCCTCAAGATAGGTTCATGTTCAGCTCCATGTCTTTCTTAAATTAAAATTTACTACTGACCCACCATCTATTTCTTTTAATTTTATAAGTATGACCTAAACAAAGAAAAAATAATAATTTGTAATTTTAGTTCATTAAACAAAAAACAAAGCAAGCAAGGAAAATTTATCTAATTGTCTTGAAGTGATAAAGCCTAAGTGCGAGACAAACATCAGGGAACTGAATGGGACTATTGAATTCCAGAGAAACTTCTTCTAAATAGGCGTATAGTCCAGGGTCCCAATTTTTAAATAACAGAAGATATTAATATGTACTTTCTCATTGGCAGTGAATACAATTTAAAGGAGGGAGGTAGTAATAAGGACATGCTTAAAACCATATCACCACTCTCGGAAATAAGATGTCAAATACCAAATTTTGTATTATAGTTTAACGATTATTCCTCCACAATAAAGATAGAAAGAGATGAAAGAAGAAAAAATAAATTGGGAAGGGGGGAATTTGTTTTCATTTTTAATGCACAGTGAAATGCACACGCACGAGCATGAACACACACAATCACATACAAACGAAACAAGCAGACTGCTGAGCCATTTTTTCTGCAAATAATCCAATTGCAATTCACAGATTCATACACACTCACAAGAGAGAAGGAGAAAGGGGGAAAAACCCTATTCCCTATAGAGGATTTACACTAAAATCCTACAAGAGGGACATTTAACCAGATTAGGTAGCAGCAAAGATAAAGAGTCTAGTATTAGATGAAGAATGGATTAGCGTCAACTTTCATTTTCAAATGTGTCTTCATTTCCTTTTATTACTTTCAGTAAGGAACAATTTGCATTAACATCAAGTAAAAGGAATTACATTAAAAGAATAGGGACAGTGAGTAGTGTCTACAAGCACCACCTTAGTCCAGAAGCTGTCATAGTGTTTACCATTATCCTCAATCTAGATTAGCAATTGTCATTCCAAAAAGAGATGGATGAACACTTTCAAAAGATGAAAAAAAATTAGATTTCTTTTAAAATTACTTGAATTTCCTTTGAAATACTTCAGTCTTTCATTGCATGCCTTATTATTCTACATCAAAATTGCTTTAAAAATTTTCAGTTGGACTGAAAAAAAATCAGTAACGTCTGAAATGAAAATTAAAATCGTACCAAAACTATTTATTTAACTACTATACACTTTAAAAAAGAAGTAGTAGTTTTTAAAACTGTTATAAAACTTTTTTTGAGTATATTTCAAGACTCCTTCATAATGCTACAATGATTAAAAACATAACTAGACAGAACCACTGAATGTTTAGAAACTCAGTAAACATCTGGAGGGCTATACTGTTCATAATCATGGAATAATCACACTCTACGATATGGACGATAAATAGAGGTAATTGTAATAAAGATAAATTAGCTTAATTCGCTAGTTTGAAAAATAGTGAAAATACTAATAGTTGTTATAATCTGAACTGTAGGTGGTGGCCTAGTGGTGAAGACACTCGCTTCCCATTCAGAAGGTTATCTGTTCACAACAATATGAAGTCACAGCTGCCAGTTCTTTAGCTGGTGTTGGCTTTCATAAGCATAGAGAAACTAGGATGTCATAACTCAAACAAAGTAGTTTTTGCAATTGACAGATGGAGACAGGTTTTTTTGGATTGCTACCCAATGTGCGGATAACCATGTCTGGTTTATAATCTTTAAATTTTGATTTTTAGATCTTCATACTTTGTGATGTTCTCCAATTCTTTGTCTTCTTTTCTACTACAGTTATCTCTGGTGTGTTATGAGCTAAAATTTATCAGTCTATATTCAGAAATTCTACAAAATTTTAACCTCTTCATTTTAAACTACTTTTTTACACACTCTGTATTACTGTTATAGAATTTGTTTTGCTATCTCTCTGGCAAGGTGAACATCATATTATTATTATTATTATTATTATTATTATTATTATTATTATTTCATTCATTATTAGGAAATCAAGCACATTCTGATTTTCCTGAATATTATTCCAGCCAGAGAGATAATATATACTGATGGCTTTTATGAATAATCACTGAGAACAAAATAAACAGCCAAATAATTTGACAATTTAAATCTATTATTTTATTCATAGTTCTATCTCAGATAGATCTCTGAAATTCAGTTTACTTGTTGATATAGATTGTTCATCTTTTGCACACTCGTTCAGTATCCAAGCACAGCATTCTCATACTGAAATTTAGAGGATATGTGTTTATGAATTATCATCAGATCTGCAATGGATGTTATGAAAGAGCCTACATTCTTTTGATGTTTTGCTATTTTTATGCAATGCTTAATAGAAAATAGCATACAGACTTAATGTGAAGCTTCTCTATTATGCTATTCTCACCCCAAACTCTTACTTAGCTTTCTTTTTTTATGAAGATAAATAGCTTATTGAGGATCTCTTATATAAAATATTAAAGATCATATGATAATATCTATTACTATTTAGAGACTGTCAAACTTGGCATAAATCTGTGTGACTTATAATTACAAATAATAAAGGGCATAAAACCATGAAAAAAAGAAACACGTGCTTCCAGAAGACATATGATATAACACATACACACACACAAATAGGGGTTGAACATCATCATGGTGGGAGTTATATGGTGTTTTTTGTGCGACTTAAATTTTTGACAGATATGTTAAAATATGTTATGTTGTGGAAACATGCTGACAGAGACTTTTATACTACACCTAGACAGATAAAACTGAACAGTGCCTGTCCGCTACAATCTAGTTTTTATTAAATGTTTAATGGCGCCAATATGTTAAGCACATTTACTGAAAAGGTTTAGGACAAAGATGGCCAGCAATTTAATTAAGAAAGCAAAGGTAATTTTGGATATACTTCTGGTTTGTAATAAAGAAAGCTGATTTTGCAAGTAGAATTATGGAACTGCATTAAATAAACGTTCTGGGTGGGAAATCTCAGGGTGAGACTATTAACAATGTTAGAATTAATATTCAATTTCTTTCGTTCTTTGAAACAAACAGAGGAATTACCTGATTCCCCCCCTTCCAAAAGCATTCGGTACAATCATATGAGTATAAAAGGTAATACACTGAAATTAGATAAAAAGTAATATTATATCATCTTGGTTTATTCCCTTTTGCACATAGATTATTGTTTTCTAGAATATATTTCCCTATTAATTTTGTTTTGCTTACATTATAATAAAACTAAACCACTATTCTTACAAAACTGAAATTATCTGACAGTATATCTTTTAAAATGCCATTAATGAATAATAGATTATTCTAAACAGGATTTTTCTTACTATAGTTAATAGAATACCAACAAATACAAAAACAGGTTGGCTGAAAATGTGAGAAGGATTCCACTTTTGGTAAACTTGGTATTTAACTTCTGGCTTTATGACAAAGCAAATTAAAATACAAATAGTTGGGAAAGTTAGGCTTTCCCTCCATTTTTCTTATTGTCTGTCAATCATTGTCTGAAGTAAAGCAGATTGCATTACAGACATAGAATCAATACTATGAAATTACTGGACAAAAATTAAGAATCATTTAGTACGTGTATAAATGAAGATAACATATACAAGTTCTTTTTATTATATATTTCAGCCACAGTGTATTAAAAATGTAGCGGTGCCTTGAGTAAAATCCTATAAATTACTCCAAGAAAAAGGTGATAAATTCCTATAATTTCTCCAAGAGAAAGGTGAAAAACCTTGGGGGTAGTATACAATTAACTCCCCTCTGGTGATGGAACAGTTTCTGTCTGGAAAAAAGAAGCTAGCAGAAATAACTTCCTCTTTCTCCACTTCACTAGCAAAATGTGATCATTCTCAAAATCTACTCTGGAAGGTTGTGACTAAAGGAAAGAAGAGAGGAAAACATCTATTTGTACAAGTTTGTTTGTACAATGTTAGTATTTGATCTCAATTATTATGTATGTGGAGGAGTGATATCAAAGATACGTAAATGCATCAGCAATAAATGTACTTAGAACAAGAAGGTTACATGAAAAAAAAAGGAATAAGAACAAATAGAAATACGTTGGGTCCATGATATGTATTTCATTAGCCTATAGCCAGGAATAAAACTTTTGTATTGTATACCTATCTGAATCATAAATTTATGCTAACACAATTAGCAACCAGAGATTCTAATCTACAGATTACTTTCATTATCTTTAGACATGCTACTAGGCACTGTTTTAGACCTATGTATTTTAATTCTTACTCTAAGATGTTGGACAAAATTGTAAGAGAAGCAAAAGTTAAATTCAACTGTAAAACTGAAACACAAATTAAACTACATGTCCGCTCTCCATTTTGATTTTTCTACCATGGCCTCCTCTTTTACACTAGACTTCGAGTGTAAAATATTGCAAAATAAAAATTGGACTATAAATTTTAAACTGACTTTATAAATCTGATAGACAAAGATCAAAAGCAATTACAGTAGGTCTCGTAGGCTTTCTATATTTTGTGTCAGAATGCTGCTTTATACTATCTGCATCAGTAAACTTTTAATAACTAAGCCTTCCAAGGTATAACATGTTTTTCTTTTAAACCTGGTATCAGTTGTTTATTCTCATAGATATTATATTCAATCTCATTTATCTTCAGCATAGTTAAAAAAAAAGGTAGAACTAGTCAACAAAAACATTTTGGAGTTATTAACAATATCTAACTATTTTCTAATATTTTATACAAAATACACAAATGGGTATTTTAATGCCATAGTTACATTTAATCTTTTTTTCAAATGTCACTTTAAATACTTTTTGCACACAACAAATACAAACTACTCAGTTACTCTTTAGCAAATTCAGAACCATTATATTTACTGACTCAACATACATTTTATTGATATAAAGAATACTTTCACACCTGACTAAATATTTTCTCCAGGAATCTACTTCTCCTTAGTCTATTGTCATTGATACAGTGCTCTGAAACTTTAAAACTTTAACGTAGGTCATTTCTGCCTAAGGTCTTGCCCTAAGCTCATTCCCTATTGTAGCTAAGGACAAGGCTTCCATTGATAAACATAGTTCCTTATGTTAAAAGGACTCATTTTCTTCCCTCACGTAAATGATGGCAGAGTACTGACAGCCATGCGGATGGACAATACTTTCCTAGCCAGACTTTTTTTTTTTAAAAAAAAAACCTAACTCCTATACCCACAAACCCCTTAAAAGAGGGGGTGACCTGAATACTATTCAGTTCTGTTCTGTTTTTCTTTCTCTGGCTGTTTCCTGATTGGAGAATTGTTCCCATTAAATAAGGGTTACCAACTTCCTCAAAAGCTAATCAAGGTCCAAATTATTATCTGAAGGGTTAATAAGATAAACAGCAATTTCTTGATTCAGAACTTTGGAATATAATATTCAAATAAATAAAAATGGGAATGTTCACTTAGCCCCAATAGTCTTTTATCAAGGTTAGAGAAAACTATTTTTGATGGTTCATATATATTGTACTTAATTGATTTGCAAGAACAAAAAAATGAATTATTGACTTGTCTGATCATAACTAGCAACAAAGAAGTTTGAATAAACTCAGGAAACTTACTAGGAATGGTAAAGGCGAAATCAGGAGCATTAATTACTCTGGCAGGAAAAGGAGGAGGAAACCCAGAAAATTGAACAATTCCAAAGGGAAAAAAATAAGCATATACTTTAAATGGATTACACATTTATTTAGCAAATTTATATATCCAGCCTAACTCCAAAAAATGATTCTGATGGCTTACAAGCAAAATTCCAAATTCTAATACACTGTGAAAGATTTATTAAGAGAAAGACAGAAAGATTGACTACTAAAAATGTAACTTTTAAATAATGTTCATATGATTAGGTAAAAAATTTGTAGAAATTGAAAAGTTAAGTTTTCATTATTAATAAGGAAATACTTCATTGAATTATTATTTAACTTGCTATTAGTCATCAACCACATTTTGTTTTGCTGCCATTATAAAAGTTTATCAAAAAAAGTCTGACATAATAAGTTTTGATGACAAAATCAATATTTTGCAAATTCAAACATTCTGTAACATTTAAATTTTCCCTAAACCATTCTTTGTTGTTATTCATTGCATTTGTATTTAATACAAGTAAAGAATATAACTCCTGAAAGTGAAGATGGGTCCCAAAAAATATCACAACATATTTCCAGAAGTCAAGGATGCAAATAGCTAGGTTTTGCAAAATCAGAAAGAAGTCACACATTGCTTTTCTCCGAAAATATTGTTTTTGATTTTTCAAAGTTACTGCAGGATGGCAATCCATGTATTATGAACCGGCCTGACTAATACTCCCAAACATAGTATTTATTTAGTATATATACTAAATAGTACACAGTATTTATACTAGAGAAAAACAGCATGGTTTCCGTAAAAGGAGAATTTGGAAGCAAAATCTTTTAAATTACTAATATCTAAAGTTTTGATAGTGTGAAATGAAATTAGATTTATTATTTTATAAAGTTTTACTTTTTGTAAGAGATTATCAAGAATTACAAATTTTAAAAACTGCTACAAATTTTCTAATATCTTGGGAAATACATATAATGAATTCTGCAATAGAACTTATCCTATTTTGCTTAGAAATGTGCTTATATTACATAATAGTATAAAAGTAATAGCTGTATATATACCCAGAACCATCAAATAAATGACATTTGTTTTATCAATTTTTGGGGAGAAATTATAACAGAATAATGCACTTCACACTATTTCATAATAACTTTCATTAAGTTCAATGACTTTAATTTCTAAGTACTGTAGAATCCTTCTGAGGGTAAAATCTTGTGTTAGCAACTATAGAACTAAGCATATGTATTACAGAGAAAACCCCCTAGTTCCATGGAATTTATTTCTGAAAAAATATGCTTTGGATTGTAGTCTTAGCCAACTAATATTTTTAAATTACCGTTAAATAAAATAATGATTAATTTTTCAACAAAGTTTTAAAAAAAACCAGAGTGAAAAAAGGTAATTCATAAATAGGCCTAAATTTCAGCAAAAGATACCTTGTAAATTATATACAACTAGTATATTTTGCAGCCCCTTAGATGCGGTTTGAAGCATTTTAAATACATATTTCTTTTCATTTAAAATGATATATTTTAAAGATATTATTAACCAAATAATTTGAAGAATTTCTTTAAAAATTGTATCATTTTTGATGCAACAAAATAAACGTTCCCTCCCCAAAGAATTAATATTATTTACAGATGAAACGTTTAACTAAGACAGTAGACAAAAAGGCGATGTAAAGAATCTGAAACATACTTATGATATTTAAAATTAAAATAATTTTTATGGAATCCATATGGCTTACTACTATAAGTATGCAAAAGGGTAAGATCTTAAGTGGGAAAATTAGTTTTAAGAAATATTAAAACGAAAGTCCCATATCCATGTAACTCAAATAAGCATGCCTGAAACCACCGAAATTTACTTCTAAAAAGCCACACATACAACCTATTTCGGTAATCTCAATAATTATGTTCTAAATAATTTAGGGAAAGGTGAAACATGCACAACAAAAGATGTTGCACTATAAAATAAATGAAAAGGTTACATTTCAGTATGCTTTATGCCTTTCTGTAAATATTTTACATAAGTAATATATCCTCCCCTCCACACACATTTGTTTTCATTGGCAAGCTTTATCCAGCAGCTTTATTTCAATTCACCAGCTGCAAATTTTGAAATCCCCTTTTCTATGACAACACTACAAAAAGAAAAGGACTTTTCTTCCAAAACAAGAAAAAACAATTTTAATAGTCCCACATCTTTGCATGTGGAAAAAATATGTTTTGGGTTGTTATGCAATGTTAAGCATATTAAGAACTGTCACTGGCAAATTACTCTCTCTATTCCCTTCTCCAAAAATGATTCTCATTTAAAAAAAAAGATTATCTTCTGTTTTCAATATTACCTCTGGCACTAATGAAAACAAGTTACACAACTAATTTAGTGTTCATTACTAGAAAGTTGCACATGCACACTACATACACCAAAATTCATACTTACATACACACAAATGCTACTCACCCAACAATTCAAATTGAGATGCCAACATCCAAAATGCTGGAACAGAGAGAAGCCAGAGGCGAGTGTTCCTCCTTTATCATTCAAATCTTCCATTCCCATTAAAAGTGCATCTCTTGGGTACATTACAGCTTTGTTTTCCCCACTCTTAATCCTAAAAGATTTTGTTTCTTCACAACCAATTATAGAAATTGTTCTATAATTTTCCCTGTCTGCTTTTCCCTTTCTGTTTCCTTCCCTTTCCTTTACCCATGTTTTCACTTAAAGTATGGTCCTAAAAGATCAAGATATTTCCAGTTTTGAGGCCTGGAGTTCTCTGAACATTCAGCATCCATTATGACATCGAATGTTGGCTGAGAGAAGTGTCCCGTTTTCTAAACGTTTGACTGTGGATAGCAAAACTCAGAGTAATCATTTCTAGGTTCCAATACTCAATTTCTCACCCCCACCTCTTTGTCTGTTAAGGATAATTTAAAAAAAACAAGTTACCTTGGAAATCAATGACAACAATACAACAATTCAGATAGCATAGGTAACATTTAGCTGTGAAGCAAGGCAGTGAGAGAGAATCATAAGAAAACATAAGCACCTAAGTGAAGCAAGCAATTCACTTTATATGAGCAACTGTCAGATAGCACCAAACCATTTTTAGTGATCGACCTGCAGGAGGAATAAGTTGATTTCCTTGTCACTCTGACACAAATAAAGTCTTTAGCAGATCGTCTGCTTTCAGATCAATGTTCCATGTCTTAATTTTTGCTAGTATAAGAACTGTCCCTTTGGGTAAAATCAGATTATTTTGTACAAATGTGAGACAAAATCACCTTAGTATGTTTTCATGATTTTTTTTCAATAGAAAAGTTATATTCTGCTGCAGCAACTTTTATTAAAAGTTTCCATGGATGAACAGTAAAGAGAACTATTGCTTCAGTTTGCTCAGTGTCTTGAACAATGCTAACTTATTTTCTCTGTGTCTTACAAATTATTCATGTCAGCTACTTTTTTTTGATCATTATTGATTTAAGAGAGAAAAGTTGCCAAGACAGCGCTCTAATTTCTACCGTCGAATTCACTACAAATCTACAAATCTAAAAATAACTAGTGCAGAAGAAAAGACCAATGTGATGGTTAAGCAATTTCTACCACAAAAGAGCAATATCAGTTATTAATACAAAAGCAGCACAAATAAAGTTAATACACAAAACCATAACATATTCTACCAAGAAAGTAAATTCCTAGTAAATATTCCCAGTAAAGAAATCTTGTTAAATCTTCTGAAATCTTGTTAAATCCTTAAAGACCTGTCACTCATGTTTTTGATATGTACGTAGTAAATTAACCCCAGAATACATTTTTTATAAAAGCAAGAAACTTTTTAGGCAAAACATACGGCAAAAATCTCTGCAACTGTTATGCATTGATTAGCCTTCAGGTGCATTGGCTACATTATATTCACAAGAGGATATAAAATTCTAAGGGTCTGGAAGAACTTCTCTCAAAAAGAGAAAGAGTTCTTCTGTTTGATTTTCTCACCACCATCCTTTTCCCGCACTTATCTAGCCTTTGCAAATAAAGTGTCAGCCAGCAACCGTTAAGGCCCTTAATACCAAAACAAAACCCTGCAATTTCCCTTTACATGGTAATAACAAAAGCAATGAAGCTCCAGTTTGACAAGTAAAAAGCTCCAACAGCACGGCAACTAATTGCATTCCCTCCCTCTATTCACAGCGGCCACCACACTCCATCAGTTGCTTTTGTCCCACGTGCAATTTCTTAAATAAACTTCAAGTTCTCTGGCTGGTGATGGACAGTTCCCAATCATTTAGCAACAATAACTTATAAAATACAGCAAACAGGATGGATTGTCTTAAACACAAGGTTTCCTTCTTGGTTGTTCCAAAAATAGGAGGTGAGAAAGAAAGAGAACAGATTTTATCCTGTATTTTTTTAAGAGAATGTTGTCAACCTACCAACATTCTTCCAATCTTTTTCCCTCTCCCTAGGAGAATTCTTCTGAACTCATTGCAGGAAAGTCATTTACTTAATGCCATGTCCAAGAACTGAATTATTCTATCTATCTATCTATCTATCTATCTATCTATCTATCTATCTATCTATCTATCTATCTATCTATCTATCTATCTATCTATCTATCTATNCTATCTATCTATCTATCTATCTATCTATCTATCTATCTATCTATCTATCTATCTATCTATCTATCTATCTATCTATCTATCTATCTATCATCCAGTTCAGTATATCCATGAAGTTTTAGACCCCTCTCACATTCCAGTGAAGTTACACTTCTGAACGGGATAGGGGAAATTGAACTTCTGTTCAATCACAGATTCCTCTTAGATCCAATATAAAGGCATTTTTTAAATTATTTTTATTATTATTTATAGAACTTCGAGAAAAAGGGTGCTGTGAGTTTTTCTACCTAGGGAAGAAAAACTCCCATTCTCCTTCCCTAATTCAACTTCATGCTGATGAAAGGAAGGCAATGGCCTTACTTAACCCAACTGTCAGAGCTGAATAAGCCATAAAGAATAAGGTACGCCTTCAGTTAAAACAAAACATTAAAAAAAGGATTCTTCAGTCATAATGGCAGACGCTAATCTAATAAAAAGTTCCCAAATTCCAAAGCATTTTTCTCATGGCAAAAGTGTCCTACAATTTTCTAAACTGACAAAAAATTAACATGCAACGGAAACATGCAGCAAAAATGCAACTACCCGTGCTGATACATGAAATGCAAAGTCTCAATCTGCTAGCCCCTGTGTGAAAGGAGGAAAAGGTATAGCTTACCATTTACAACAGTTTTAATCAGGATGCTTCACGCTGCCTGGTTTCAAGCATGCTGCTGCTTGTTATATTAACATACCTACATGATGTGTATTAAGACTGCAGTTGGTTGATCCACTGGAGGGCAGCACCCTACCTAAGCCATTCACCACGGAGCTGCACAGATAAACACACGGGAACAGCTCTGCAATGCCAGCTCTTCAGAAAAGATGCTCAAGTCCAGTTCCATTCATAGAATTATTTCGCTTGGTAGGAAAACGAACAATGCCTGCTTCTCCCTCTGATTCAATACCAAACCACACAAAAAGTGTGGGGGGGGATAACTTCTCATTTCTCTGTCTCCCTCTCCACCTCCCCTCAATCTCCCATATAGTCAGTCAAAAGAACAAAAGCTGATATTTTGTTTGCCGACTTGGCAAATATAATGGAAATCTCCGTTCTCCAAAGTTCACCTAACTTGGTGAAAGCACTGCTTCACTGCTCATCAGGGAAATGAAGCTTTAATGACTATTTGATGCCAGTCAATTGAGGAAGGGGGAAGAGGAGGTTCGATTTCAGTAGAAGATGGAAGATTGTTTTGCTCTTTTTCTTCTCCCTCGGAAAAAAAAATCTTCCTTCCCAATTCTTATCAACAGGAAAAAGTGAATGATACATTATTTTATAAAACCTTTAAAGAAATTAACATATATGCCTAAAAATGGGACTAGCAAAACAAATCAGAAGTATTCCATATATAGTTTTTCTGAAAAGCTTAAATAGAAAAATCACACGAAGTTGCAGATTCCTGCCTCTAAAGAGAATGGTCCTAACACATATTAAGCCACCGCTGCGTGTCTCCTAAGCAGAATAGAAAAAAAATGACTATTGATCTTCAAATAGTGATAATTGAAAAGATCAAAAAGATTAAACAAAATCACAAATGTGCTGACTTACCATGCTATGCTTTTTTTTGTTGCAACTTTGTAGAAATTTCACTCAAAGAAACTGCATCAGAGGTGTCAAATTTTTGAGCGGAGTGTGATCGTATTACTTCCGCCGCCCTGCTTTCCAATGCTTCAGAACTTTTTCCCTTTCTCTTTTTTGTTTGTGGTACCTAGCTTTTTGCCATAGACTTTAAAAGGCTTCAGCTCAGCAAACCAGCACAAATTATCTTGCCACCTTGCGTAGCTCTGATGCTTTGGCCGCTAACTTTGGAAGGCCCTTTACTACTGCATCAAAATTAGCATTGTCAAAGCAGTTAATGAATATTAATATTGTATTTGTCATTGGAGCTGGCCCGTTGCTGAACTCCGAGTCATCCATCAGGGACAAGATTAAGAACACAATTATTTCTGACTGACAGGGACCAAATCTGCTAGAATTTAAAAAAAAAAAACAATTCGGGGGGAACCCCCACCCACCCAAACATCATCTTAAGGTGCTTCCCAAGAGATCAGGAGCCAAATTAATACTCTTTTAATGAAGTGCAGATCATTATTGGGTGGGGATAGACTATCCATGATACTTAGTTGTATTATTGTAAGATTTGGAAAAAATATACCAACCAATTGACAGTTTTTAATTCATAGTATTTTAAGAAAAATGATTTTTTTCCTTAAATCTTTGTTATGTAAAGAAAAGAAGAAAGAAGCAATTCATACCACCTCGAGTAATTTTCCATGTCTTCACTTTTACTTCAGCAGCTCAAAAAAGCCAGCACAGTAAATAATTCCTATCCAAATTTGAAGACACCTTCATCTCCTACAAATTTTTCTGCACCAATTCCCCAGTTCCCAAGAACTGTCTCATTCATTTTATCAACAATTCCATTTATAGAAACTCTTAAATTCCCTTTTAACACCGACATCTTTCTGTTATAAACATTGGAAACTGCACTTGTGGAACTCAACAATAATTATTAAGCAATCAGCAACCAGACAGTAGTCTCCCCTTGGGCTTGGAAAAGATCAAACGTTAATTTTCATTCAATCAGGTCCAAATTTTTGAACATCAAATCAACCTTTATGATAAATTCTAATTAATAGAATCATGAAATCAAAAGAAACAAATTGTGAAGGAAACAAATACTGGAGAAAAGATGTGAATATAATGCTCATTTCCGAACCACTTGAACAATCATTGCTGTTAAATAAATGAAATGTTTCAAAACTTCCCTTTTCTGATCAATTTATCAAGATCTATACTCAGTATACATATGTGCACACAAACATTTCCCTTTACAGAAATATCCAGAAATCAGTTGCTTAATAATGCAATTTTTACAGAGGCATTTTGGAACATACCTTTGGTGGCTTCTTTTATAGGACTTGCTTTTTGGCAATTTTTATTAATCCTGCCCTTCTGCCTTTTTTCAAGGGAAATTGTTTATTATTTTAAATGTGGCAAAAGGGGAAGAATTAAAAGGGATAAAAATGACAGATGTGATACTTAATCTGTCCAATGAATCATGGGGGTCTAAGTAAAGCTGCTGTGGCTACTGCGCTAATCTACGGCTCCCACTGACCAGCCTCCTGGCCCCCTAATGCCATTATCAACCCTTAGATGAACATTCTAAATTAGAGTTTTGTTCCAAAAGGGTGTGAAGTTGACCTCTGGTGCAAGAAAACCTCTACCATACATACAGATGGAAAAGTTCTTATGATTTCTAAAAAAGAAATTTCTTTTTAAGAGGGATTATGCATTTACGCATGTCTGTGTGTCTCAGTTTGTGAAAACTATTCGGGTTGCTATCAACTATGTCAGGATGAATGTCGCACCAATACAAGAATGAATAATTCAGCATTTTATATCAGTGTCATTTTTATTTTTATTTAATAATATTGCCAAAAAATTGAAACTATCTTGTTTTCTTTGCAGTCTAAAAGAAAATGAATGCAAAATAAGCAATATTTAGATGGGTTCTTATTAATGCAATATACGGAAAAAAGCTTGGATTTGAGGGTGGAATATTAATTGTACATACAACCAAATACAAATAACTATGGAAAAGTAGAATTAAAAGCACAGTACATTTCCTCCGGCTATCATTTGTACTGATAACTTCACTTTGCCTTAAAGCATTTTTTTTAGGTATAAAAGCATAAAATAGGGGGAAGGAATCCATGAAAAATACGCAACAAAGCATTTCATATGCCATGCTTCTTTAGGGAGGAATATCATCTTCGAGAGATATAAAATGTTGTGCTTTGTTCAGGCCTTTTATTTTGCATTAAACCCATTAAAATGTTGCCTGTATTTCTGAACCAAACCTTGGTCATAACAGAAAACCACTAATTTATCATCTCCTTCAACAAAGCAAACATCTAATTTTCCTCTTAATAATATGTTAGAGCTTGGAAATTTTGAGCTGTAACATTCAGTTTGGAATTTTGTGGATAGAATCAACAACATCAAGCACTTCTCCGCATCCCAGATCTTAATAGGTTGCTTTCTCCTGCCTCTCTCTGCGTCCCCAGCACGACTGCATCAGCACTAGTATCAAATTAACTCTCCGACTTTGAAACTTATTGATCTGCTATTAAGACACCAGTGAACCTGATGAAATGAGTGCTGTAGGTGCAGTCAAGACTTCAAAGTCTCACACAGCCACATAAAACAAGCGCCTTTGATCCTAACTCCGATCTGCTGAGGGTTTAAAGCCCAATTCTCCCTAAGCTGCCCTTCTTGCTCGTCATGTCTGATGTCTTACCAACCAGTGACTTGATAATGTTAATAATGCAAATTTTTAGCAATTTCTTTTTCTGGGCAAAATTACGATATGAATTTATGCTCCTTTCAAAGAGGACAACAAAAAGAATTACGGCAGCATTTACAGGAGAAAATGATGCCGTAAATCCTGTTAATGCTCTACTTTAAAAAAAAATTGTAACTGTTTTTATATTTGCATTGGCTACGCCAGATTGAAATATCTATTATTACTTGCATATTCAGCCATGTTCAGTGGTAAAAGTTATGCAATAATTTCAGCTTTTTACAGCTGGATATGCATTGAAAGCTATTTGTGATCTCTGCATTTCCTTTTCCCCCCTTCATGCTTGTTATTTGCTTCAATGATGAGTCCTTATAATAAAAATCTCTGTATATATGCT